CTACACACACACACACACACACACACACACACACACACACACACACACACACACACACACACACAAATAATAACGGGAAGGACCGTTTGTCAACGAAGGCAGTTTTGATCAGGAGAAGAACAAAACCAGTTTGGCATTTTCTTAGTCCACATCCTTTTGTACCATTTCAAATCACTCGGCTGCTAACAAGAGAAATCACTCGGCTGCTAATTACAAGAAAAGGGAAACACGTTGACATGCCAAATACTGGCGAAAGAACCATATTTCCCTCCTTTCTCCACACCCACTGGAGAGACGCGACCCCCTTTTTTTCCAGGCGCAGGAGTTAAGACTTTCCAGGAGCCCCCTGTGTTTCTCTGAACCCGTCCCTCCCCCCCAGCGGAGGGTTTATTTCTAACACCGGTTTATTTCTAAACAAACTTGTGGCATTTGTCCAGTTCAAAAAAAAGGGGGGGTGGGGGTGGGGGAAGGGCAGAGATCATTTTTTATCCTTATTAATGATCAGCGGGTTGTTGCGGTGAATTTTAACCAGCTCTTCCGCCAGATCCATTTTTTTAAAGCAAGCAAACGACCCAATATTGGGGGGTGGGGTGGGGGGAGGAGGAAAGGAAAGGGGAGAAAGTAGCCAAGTGGCCCCCTGGCTCCTGGGCCCCCCCTGCTGGTTCCTCTTTCCCGCCCGCCCCTGCCTGGAAAGGGAAGGCACATGTTAATACCAGCCGGCGTGGTGGGTTTGTGGTGCTGCCGCTGCGGATTGCGGAGTCCGAGACAGATGTTGCGCCACCAGAGCCTCCTCAAGTGCCGCTGCCGCATGTTGTTCAATGACCTGAAGGTCCTCCTGCTCCGGAGACCCCCCGCGCCCCCTCCGCCCTCGCCTCCCCTCCCCATGGACAGCGGAGACCCCCGCCCGGGCGAGCCGGCGGCCAACAACAACACCCTGCCCGCGCTGCATGGGGGGCGAGGGGGCGCCTGGAGGGCGCCGGCCGCAGGCGGGGGCGGCCCGGCCAGCCCGCCCGAGGAGGAGTGGGGCAGCCCGGCCGGCGAGCCCCCCGCGCCCGCCTTGAGCAGCGCGTCCTCGGAGGACTTCTGCAAAGAGAAGGCGGAGGACAGGTACTCGCTGGACAGCGGCATGAGGACCCCGCTCTGCAGGATCTGCTTCCAGGGGCCCGAACAGGTGAGCGAGCAAACTTCCCAGCCGGGCCCTGGAGTCGTGGGTGTGGGGGCTGTGTGTGTAACAATCCCCCCCCACCACACACACACACACTCCTCGGTGCTCCCCGGTTGCTCTTTGGAGCAGGGTGGTGCTGATTTTCTCTTGGGTTGTGAGTTTGGGGGAAGGGTGTGTTTTTGGAAGGGTCTGAGTTGGAGCTGGGCTTACCTGGAAGCTTTGTGCAGAGAGGAAAAAGGCAGAGACACACACTAGCCACAACACGCTGGTGTGCCCGGCAAGGGACTACACCATTCACAAATGCTCACCTGGAGAAACACAAAGGCACACCCAGAGACAGGCACAGACACAACACACATGCATGGATGCAGAACTCAGGGCCACAGCCACACACGCCCACACCAACGCCCACTCAGAGGACACACAAAAAGGCAGCCATAACTCACAGCACAGAGACACCACACACACCAATATGCAGAGACACAATACACAGACAGGCCCAGAGCCACATTACGAAAAGACTTTGTTTTACTGCATGGATATAACGTGATACCTTGAAAAAGGTTTGGAAAAGGAGCGCAGTTTAATTCAGTCGAGTTTTGGTTCTCGTTCACTAGATTTGGGGGCAGATGCAAGTTTGAAGGTGACAGTTGTTGTCGGTTTCTTTATTCGGTTTTTGAGGTGTGGCACTGGTACATACATATCAACTCTGTTTAATGACATTGTGAACATTTTAAAACCTACACGCTCAGATGTTGCATTCGAGTTATATCAAAATATCCCCAGCGCTCTCCTCGCGTACTCGATAACTCTTTGGTTTGTCTCTGGCTTGGCAAGTGGTACTTTTGTTGATTTTGTGGTTTGCACCTTGGCCTAGGACTTTTAAAAAGAGAAATGTCAGGTCTGGGGCCATGGCCTGAAGGCTTCCCTACAGAGTCAGAGAGAATACTTTATATATCTGGTAAAACTTTGAATGCCATGGCTTTATCTGTGCTAGAAGGATTGTGTATAATCAAAGTCTCACCTTAACTTCTCCTTAATTAAAAATACCCTTCAATACTTGAAAGATGCCTGGATCTGTTTAATTACTCCACCACTATCTAAAAATGGATAATGACTCAAAGAACACCCAGAGGAAAATTATAGGAAAAGATCTCCCTTGCATTAAATCCTATTAGGGTTTAACAGACACTGCAAGACTTAACAATAAAACACCAAAGTTGACATTCATTACACAGGAACAGTTTTAAGGGGCAGATGGTTAGAGAGCAATGACTTCCTAGAGCTTCTTTAGTAGAGATGTCCTGAGCCATTTTATACTCCCTAGCAGGAACTCTCAAACTTTTTTGACAGAGTGGACATCTTAATAAAGAGATTATTTGTCTGCATGTGGACATCTCCCCCTCCCCGCATTTGCAATCATATAAAAATCCCCGTGGCAACAACTGCAATTGCTTATGAGGAAAAGTGATAGTAAGAAAGTCTGAAATGCATTGTTAGCTCTTTAAAACACAATTTAGTGGCTGTAAATACCTTGCAGGAATCAACACCATGTGACCAGACAGCTCCCTGTGGAACACTACCAAATAGACTGCAGGTTATCCTGCACCACAGCCCACAGTTTCAAAACCACTATTGGTCAGGACTATGCTAAACTATGAATAAAGCAATGGTGCGAGATGATACATGCTAAAAGTGCTACCTCAAAACGTTCCTTGGAACAGGTTAATAGTGGGCCAAAGAAGTTTCTCTCCACCATCATGTCTAGGGTGCTGCACAACAGTATGAAAAAAATAAACACAAGGTAATCAAAAATAAAAGGTGACATTTTTTTCACACCATTTTCTCGAAACTACAAATGATTAAAAGTAGATCAAGTATTTTAGCCTAGTACGTTTGATGCATTTAATACATGGGTAAAATCCATACTTAGTCTAAAACAGTTAAACACAGCAGGAAAGATTACAGACCTAAGGCTTGATCCTACAACCCTAATATCCAAGTAGCCTTTACTCACCAGAATAGTCTCATTGACTGCAATGTAAACTACTTGCATGAGTTGCAGGATCTGGCAGTCGGGCAAAGATCTTTGGGTCTGTAAGACGGTAGATCAAAACTGAAGCTCAATTAAACCAGGTTTTGCCCCATTCTCTGCTTCCTATTTTTGGTAGCTCTGCCTCTAGTATGGTAACCCAGTGCCATGTGGCTGTGCTTAGGGTGACAGTATTGTGGTCCATGTCCTGCCAAGCCTAATAAAGGTGCCAGCATCTTGCATCCGCTGGTGGTACGCTTATTTCTGTCTCTCCTAAGTAGGATGTTCCGAGTTGAGGGGACCTGACCCATCCCAGTGTGCGTGTGTGGGAAAAACACCTATCTTTCCTGAAGATGAGTTATGTTCCTCCAGCAACCCATCTGCATATCACAGTCTGGCAGAATGAGCCCGCTTCATACCTAGAGGTCTCTAGATCAGAGCTGGAGGGCCAATGGGACATAGCCCTTTGGAATGGCTTATGTATTTGATTGATAGCTGAAGATGCACTTTTCACAACATGCTTTTAGAGGAGTAAAAAAAAAAATAGAACAAATCACTCACCATTTCCAGAGGCAGTTTCTGTCTGGCTTTTTTTTTTTTCTCTCTTCATCTCTTTTAAAAACAGCACAGTTGAAGATATGTGCAGCTAGCGGCCTGTATATTTTACCTATTTCACCTTTATAGTACTATCTACGCTACTGATCATTCCGCCCAAACACAGGAAAGGTGACGTCTGTGAGGCTGGTTTGTGTGTGTGAGCAAATAGATTCAAACTAGAGTAAAAAGCCATGTGACTGGCTACCTTGGGGAACAGGAATCCTTTAAAATAATCGGATGCTTATTTTTACACTTTAAAATCTATGTTGCATTTTAAATATGAGACTATTTGCTGACCATCTGCCAGTCTATCAAAGAGAAAAAATGAGCAGATGTGACCTGCAGGTAATAGAATTCCATCACTACTCTCTCCTTTTGCTTCTCAAATCCTCTGACTTTGTTATAATAAGACTACTTAGGGCTGGATTCTGCCACCCTTACACCTTATTCTACAAGTAATCTCATTTTCTTAAGTGGGATTACTTGTGGAGTGAGGTACGGCTCATTATGAATGAGTTTGCCAGAATGTGGCCCATATGTATTGGGGCAAATCCTGAAGTCTTTAACCCAGAGCCAGGTTCTAACCCCAGTTTCACCAGTGTAAATTCAGACTAACTCTTTGAAGTCAATGGAGATACTCCAGAGTTGTACCGGTATGATTGAGATCTAAATCATCACCTCTGTTTTTATTCAGTCCTTATTCTGGTAAAACTCTCAGTGGGCCAAATCCTGAGACCTTATCCAGTTTTTGTTCAGTCTTGACCCAGGCAAACACCTATTGATTTGCCTGTATAACAACTCAGCAAGGTCCTTTCAAGATCTGGACTCTTAGAACTACAACAGTGATGAACGCACATGATCTTATAACAGCTTGCGTGTCATTTTACCAGCCTGGGCACAACATGTAATTGCCAGGTGACAAATGACGACAATGATCAAAATGAACAAAACTCTGAAGCAAGCTGCCCTAGAGAGGAATGGGCAAATAGACTTCTGTGAGGCTTTACGCTTTACGCTTTGTTGGGAACAAAATCATCGTTATAAATGGACTTTTAGGCATTCTAGGCCTATTTACACAAAGTTATGGTGAGACTCCAAAAGACATTGTCATCCCATTTTGATTTTCTTTATTTACATATGACAACACCGACAGAATTGCTTTCTAATCTGCCTTCTCTCAAGTAGGTTTTATGCAACATCTAATGCAAAAGGAAGTCTGTGGGGATTTTCATTTTACATTGACGATGGTCCAACATGGGAGAGGCCTCAGGCACCGAGTTACTCGTATCTTAAGCTCCTTGCGTGTTTGTGGTGCTTATGTATAAGCTGACTGTTTTATTTAAAAATATGTTGGGGGAATTTAGTAAGGAGAAAAGCTCTTTATTGTAAAAAATGTGTTGATACCTGATGGTTAGTTGAAAGCAACCACTAATACAAAGAAAAGCGTGGATTAGATGATCAGGTGAATAAAATGTCAAAGTAACAAATTCTGGTGCTGGAAGGGGACTGTTTATTCTAATCAAGGCTCGCTGTCAGAACAGGTCATTGCTTTTACTGAAAGGTATGGCTTAAATTGTAAAAACTATCAGGCCGGATTCTGATCTTGGTTATTCCATCAACTTTCATGGACTTATTCTGATTTTCATTGGTTTAACTGAGTAGAGATGCTGGCCTATTGCATCAATTAATTTTGAAGCTGTGAACCACAAAATGTGAGCATGAGAGGTGGCGGGTGGGAGGGAAGGGTCTTTGCATATTTTCTTCTGTTTTGCTTTATGTGCTCCGTTTTGCAGAGCATTGCCGGGCTCACTGGCAAAGTTCTCCCAGAGATAGAAACTAAAGATGAGCTTCACCGTGACAAATGTTCCTTGGTGTTTCATAGGTGTGGATCCAAACTGGAGGCAAGCCAAGCAGGCCAGCAAAAAAATGTGGATAGAATAAAAAGCCTCATTCACATCAGTGGGTTGTGTGATTGCACATGTAACAGTGGATAAACAATCCCTCTGTGGTTAGAGTCCCAATTTTGGTGCACATTATAAAGAAAGGAACATCATTAGAAAGAGAATCAAACCTATATCAGACTTGGAAATCAGTGTGATTTCCTGCAAATGGTCCTGCAAATGATTCATGGCTACATATATTTTCTAGCTGGCAATCTCCACTTATTTATCTTGTTTCTCAGCTTAGTTGTACTTTGTGCTTCTTCCAGGGAAAGTGCTTGAGAGAGAGAGAGAAAGAGATTTGAAAAGTAAATAGAAATGGGACTGGGGTTGGCTAAGTGGGATTGAAGAACTGGATATGGTCTCTTTCACGTCTAGGCGAGTAGTTTGAATTTAGGTTAGTACTGATTAGCGAAGGTCTGAAAGTGGAACACTAT